TTTTATTTTTTAATTGATCCTTTTTTATTATCTTTTTGATCCGGCAGCCGTGCCAACCCCACTTATAACTACCCATGAACCTCCAAGTATAAGGCATCTGAAACTCTCAAACCCCAACCCCAAAGCCGAGACACGCCAAGGCAAAAGCAAGAAAGAGCCAACCCTTTTTGCACCTTATTTTTGTAACCTTCAACCTTGAAGCTTCCCAAAACCTCGAACCCTAACCCCCAAAAGCCCCAAACCCTAAACAGGGTTTAGGGTTTAGGGTTTAGGGCCCCGAACCCCACAGCCCCAGACGAAGGCTGCGCCTCTTGGCCCACCTTCGACGCGCGCTCCCCGAGGCGCGGGGTTTGCCTCCACCTCGTGCAACAGGGCTTTATGGCTCCATAGGGGAATTGCGACAAAAGCAATTATTATAACAAGTTAAAGTATTCATAATAATAACAGTGCTAGTAATAAAAAGAATCAGAATACGAATGCTAGTACTACTAGAGTTTGGATGTGGGGCCCGCCGAGCTTGGAAATTTCCAATCAATGGCGAGGCTGTAAATGTGCCGCTGGATCGGACGCATGTTGCTCCCTCGTGACTATGACGTGTTGAAGCATTAGGGAGGAAGATAAATCAAGTCCTTCCGACGTTGAAGTTTCATACTTGCTCATTTGCCAACTCCATCCCCCATCCCAGCACTTTCGACACCCTTTTTGACATGAAGCTTTGAGTTTGTTCCAGCCCCAAAACCCCTTTTCGGCCCGAAATCCTAAAGCGTCCCTCGCAGGAAGATTTGGATGCTGAGTCCCGAGATGGAGTCAGATCTCAAGGCCTCGGGAAGACGCAGAGTCCTCCACCTTCGGGTTCCCCAGGAAAGGACCTTCCTTCAGACCCTGAAGACACTGGTTATTCGGTAGTTTGGTTTAGGGCTTAGGAAGACAATGGTTATTCGGTAGTAGGGTTTAGGGTCTAGGGCCCGAATGTCCGCACTTAAGCAAGGTAGGCCATATATGTTCCGATTTGCAGTGCGGTTCATATCCGGCTGCTGTGCAGTTGCTACGGCCGCCAGCACCGCGTCACGGACCTCACGTCCAGAAGCCGTCAGCCTTCAACATTACATTATGCTATCTCATCTTATGTAGTACGATATGATATTATGTTATGTTGCATTTCAACACATTACATTACATCATATCAAATCATATCAAATCGTATCATCTTACGCTATATAATGCTATATGTAGGCCATATGATATTATCATGTATTGCGTTGTATTACTGTGTTCTACATTTTGTTAGATCACATTGGATCAGCTTATATCACATCACCGGTATTTACTCTAGTAAACTATACTGTACTTCAATACTACTTATTCTTATAAAATACAGTTTAATACCAATTAATGCACCATGATACAATTTAACATATCGTAGTGTAGTATTGTATTGCATTGTTTCGTATTATATGCTATTGCATCACATGGGTAGTCCTCCGAATTAGGGTCCTTTTTCAAAATAGTACGGCACCATTATAAAAGGACCCNNTAAAAGGGACTCGAATTTAGAGAACTGCCCATGTCATGTCGTATCATACTGTATCATCTATATGTGCATTATACTATATGTTATGATGTGATGTGATACTACACTGCACTATATTACATTACATTTCGTTTTATTATACAAAAGGATAGTTGTGTTGTATGACACTACATTGCACTTTTTTCAGTACCTTATTGTACTATGCTATATAATCATATGCTCGTAAAGTATATTAGTATAGTAAAACTTATCATATCACGTCATATCATACCAT